CCGATGGCATCAGTCTCCCTCGGTGCCACCAGGCAATCACCTCTTTATCACTTGGCAATTATCTATCCAGAGCTGCTCTGTGTCTCTGCCCACCTCTGCCTGCATCACACATGACCTCTTACAGTCAGTCTGGCCCTGCTGCAGTACAGGGAGAATGGCGGGATGACTGGAGAGATATTTATAGAGACGAGAAATGGAGTGAGCTGAATGCAAGGACCCCAGTTATTAAGGTCCCTGGCCCTGTAAGATTGCCTGAAATGGCCTCGCTCCTTTTTCTGCTGTTTGCTAAAGCACATCTTCAGGACTAAGCATAGAGACGGTGCAAACATAGTTTTGGCTCTACCAGAACTTGTTTTAGGCCCTGAACATTATGCAAGAATGTAAGCCCAGAAATTAATGCTTGGGACTAATTAACATTTTCTTAAGTAGTATTTTGTCTTGTTTTCCTGAAAGAAATATATGGAATATCCGAAAACATCCAAACAATATATCATAATATATATAATTTACTTTCATCCAGGAGCTAACTATAAACATGTCGACCATTTAACTAACTTTAACAACCTCACTCAAGATTTATTTCAAATTGTTGCTACACCATGACAGTACTTGACCTCAATAAGAAACATGTAAGCAGACAGCAGAGTCATTTTACACTAACGCCCACTATAGAGAATGAAACATGCATTTGTATTGCTTTATGAATTATGTTTCACAATGCAACCAAAATCAAACTTGCTTAGCTCGCATAACATTTGTACTCGCATACCTGTGTAAAATATGTTTTGGGTCCGAGTGCGCTTCCATTTAGATATTTCTGTGTCATGTTTTATATGTACAATATATAGTAATCGAGTTTCTGCAAAGTGTGCATTTATGACTAGAAAGACATTTTGAGTAAAGCATACAACATTCTACTGAGGAACGAGGGCAGTGGTGTAGTGGAGGGTATACGCAGGTATACGGCATATACCCACTTCTTTATCAGTCGGCTTTGTGTATATCCACTTCTAAATCCTCTCCCTCATCATTCATTAGTGTCCTGCTTTAGCCAAAATCATGACAGTCCACCATGACTAGCTAATCAAATCACATGTAAATAAATGCCAATATTCCATAAACACACCCAGTAAAGACAATGATGTGGTCAGGATGCGCCGGCTTACCTTTAAATTTGATTGATGATTGCGCCCGCGCCCGCCTCTCCTCTCGACAAATCACGGGAATGCAAGCGGAATCGATCTGGGGCGTGAGTGCATGTCAGGGGAGGTGCGAAGAGTGATTTTAGATTCTGAATGGATCCGTATAGTAGCCTGTACAGTCAGGTCAAGGCAGTAGGTTTAGTGATCTTTTGGCGTCTCCTTGTGGTCCTGCTTGATATCGCAGCTTGACTAGTACTTAATTGTATTAAAAATGCTCTAAACAATTTTATTATAATTTTTTTTGCGCTATATAGTATAGCCTATACATAAATTGTAAAAGGTATGGGGGGAGCAGGGGGTTACTATTTGCCCGTCACTGTATGCCATGTGAGAAACATAGGAGTAGAGCTGCACAATTCTGGATAAAATAACACAGGACATTAAAAAAATGGGGTCATAAATTAAGAGTATACCCACTTCTCCAGGCACCACTACACCACTGAACGAGGGGTGAGATTGTATATTTCTATATAATACATCAATCTTGTTGCCTATTTCTAGATGCTCCATTAGAAAGAGTGCTTTCAAACAATGCATAAAAACTATAAAAAGATGTATAAAAACACTTTTCGAATAGCCAACACTGTTACATTTCTCAACAACAGGGGGCAATGTAGGTCAATAGCAGAACGGGTGCCCCCCTCCTCAGCGCCCTCCTCCTAAAAATACCCAGACAAACATTCCCCTCATTAATGTTGGCTTCACAACATTCTGAAGTGCTTTCAAGCAATTTGTGCGTCATATTAATCTAATGCACCGTCTCTGGTGATTGGCATCAAGTTAAAGAGATCTCTCTGGCTTTCCATCAACAGCCGTGCTTTTATTAATCTTCCAAAAAAAGAGAGAGAGAAAAAAGAAAAGTTGAAAATGAAGATGGCTCCACTCAGAAAATGGAAAAAGATCAAACACGAGGCAGCGGGAGAAAAAGACAGATAAAAGATGTTCGGCTTGTATTGACAAGAGCGTCTGAAAGAAAATTAATGCTTCTCGCTTTCATCGCGTGTTTATGTCACACCCCTCCATCCCACTCCAGAAACGAGGACAAGGCCGCATCGGATATTTCCAACATCTTCATGTACTACTGAATGATAAGCTGTTTGTCAGATTTAGGAGTTAGATGTACCTTTTTAAAAAACGCATCTGTCTTTTGGCACGATGTTGTCAGCACTATTACCCCGCCAATTTGCGCTCAGATGCCCCCCTCCTCTGCTCTGACTAAAATCCAATTTACTGGCTGTCAGCTCAACCCAGTAATCCTCTGCACAGCTGTGTTTGTGGAAAGAGCCTCTTAATTTGCTCGTCCTCTACATTTCTAAATGTACCATTGCCATATCTGAAGCGAAACGTTAGCTTAATGTGGTTTGTTGCCTGTTTATGAAGGCGCAATGAATGCCTATTGGAGACCCTTTCAGGTTCTGCTCAGCTGAGGAGGTGAGTAAACAGTAGAACATGGGAAATGCTAGTGGAGTTAACAAGCTTGCTGCTATGCTAGTTCATTGCTAGGTGGTTGCTATGGTGTTCTGGGTGTTTGCTGGATGGCTACTTACTAGCCCAGGTTGAAGAGCCACAAAAAAAAAAAAAAATTGTCTATCGATAACTATATTAGCGTCCACACCAGCGGACGATATCGTATTTATTCTGAGCCCATGCTCATCTGCCGCTTTAAATTCTCAAGCTAGTTGAGTGCGTTTTAACTTTAGAGAATGTTATATTTCTTAACAACTACAGCTGAAAAAAAATCGTTCTGAAAGTGATTCCAACTATATTGTTTCTCTGTGCCTTTATCGTTATAGCTGCGGTGAGGACTCTGCTACTTCTATAATACTGAGAACGATTTTTAGAACTATATCTTTATCGTTTTAGTTATTGTCCTTGGTGTGAACAGGCCTTAATGCTAACTATAAGCCTACTAACATAAAGGTTCTACGTTAGGGTTTAGCATTTGTTTCAGCATTATGTAGGTAATATACACTGTGATTGACATGACCAATAATTTTTATTTTTTTTTAAATAACGTGACAGTTGCCTTTGTAAATGCACTGTTTTATCGGCCACCAGGTGAAAATTGAAAAGCAATTGCTTTGAAAAGTAAAATCTAACCTCTACTGAACAAGCTGCACAATTTGAGGTAGGGTATAATTTGTTAAAGTTCGTGCTAGTATTTAACACTTAGCATTAGTCGTTTGTTCAGAGTAAATATACAAACCTTGCAGAAAATCACATATTGGGGGAAAAGATACTCGGGAATCTTTAAAAGGCCCATTCATTTTTTTTTTTTTTCTGGTTATGTAGACAGTGTCATCCCTGCATTATACTGACGCCTAGTGGTGTGGAAGCATTACACAAAACGTTGCAACTGTAAAAAAATGTCTTTGTCAGTGTTTCTATTGTTAACTAAAACTATAACAAATTTTGCTATTAAATATTTTTCTGTAATTGAAATAAAGAGGAAATAAACTGTAAATATTTAGATGAAAACCTGAAATAAGTTTACGCTGAAGTACTACAATTGCTAACACTTAAAGCTAGAAATGAAAAAAACTAATAAAAATGAAAAAGCACACAAAATCACTATTAAATTATTCAAATTAAAGTTAACTCAAAATATTAATAAATACTGTAACAGCACATAAATAATACTCAAAATAATAATAATACATAAAAAACACTGGTATATACAGACATGATTAATGTATTCAATAATTAATAGTGTTCAATAATAATCGATTTAGGATTGCATTATAGTAGCTGGTCATGTGATCTTAATTTGGTGGCTCTCATGAGGTGACAAACACCACGTAAAATAAAACAGCTTCATTATATGCACATATAACTTTTTTTTTAATTATATTAATTTCTTCATGTGTAAAACTTGTAAATGGGGGGGAAAAAATGTGAGTGCCCCTTTAAATATGTTTCTGTATCTGGTTTAAAATAACAATACCCTTGATTAGTTTAGTCAAAAACAGTAATCTTAACAAGCAAAAAAGATGACCTAATAAAAAGTCGCAAACTTCGCCACATGCTGCATGCAATATAAAGCAGTTGGTTTCAGCATGTGTGGGTTGTGGCTCGGGCTGGAACAGTGAATTATAGAAACGGTGTCATTGCCACCGAGCACACACTGCACCATCTCTGACACTGGAGATAAAAGTCACTGCCAACCTGTGGGAGCCACAGCAACCACCCTGCCTGCCTTCCCGCACGCCGCTCTCGGACCATTTGCATTTCCTGCGGACGCTCCGCATCTCATGAATGCTAATGAGGGCATATTTTTCCTGCGTACTAGCCCGGCAGTTACTGCGGGATTGTCCGTATACGCACATCTTCCGCTGTCCCCTGCACGTCTGTGATATGAAAATGAGTGAATGATAAGCCTCCAGGGGCCAGGTCGACTCCAACAATTAATCCTGGCATTTACGAGAAATATTCGCCTATGCCTATCAGTACATGAATATATGTATATCTATCTACTCCATATGGAGGAACTAACTAGAAACTAACTGTTTTGTAGTATCTCTCCCCAAAACTGAACCAAGATGTCCCTCATGAATGAATATTAGGTACCGACTGAACCTCTCGACTGCCTTTCAACCTCCCCTGTACCGAAGTATCCGATGCAAGCTATTAATAACCAGGTGAAGATTTTCCTATGGAATATTCTGAGTCACTCTGGGCACGTGAGCGAGGGTGTGTGGGCATGCAGGGATGGGGAGGGTATGTGGGCGGCAATGAGATCATCAAAAGTGTCGAGCCCAGAGTCGCCCTAGTGCCCCAGCAGGGAGGAAGGGTACTCACCGCGTGCGCGTAGGTGCTGTAGGTGCTGAAGGGCAGGGCGATGGCAGGGTTGAAGATGCCAAACTGGCCCACCATCTGCTGCATGCGGCGGATGGTGCGCTCCTTGTCCGTGTCGGCAAACTTGACCACCAGGCTGGACGACGCGCCCTGAGGGAGGAGAGAATCGGAGCCAGTCTGAGGAGAGAGGGCAGGCTGCGTTTAACCTCCCGCTTTGCAAGCGAGACTGTCAACCACCACAGGAAACACAATACAATATGTACATGATTTAAACGTTTGAGCTCTTCGATGCCGGGTGGATTATGATTGTCAATGTTTTTAGCATTTAAAATTGTTCTGAAAATGATTCCAACAATTTAATTCCTTATTGTTATAGTTGTGGTGTGGACATTACTATTCTCATACAATTAGAAAGAGTATCAAAACTTTATAGTTATAGTCATTGTCCTTAGTGTAAACAGCCCTGAAAGAACTGTCATGTTCTTTCAAACCTGTAAGACTCCACGGAACACAAATGAACACAAATGAATATCCCTAATGACCCAAAAAGGCACCAAATAACCATCAAATATAAATAAATTGATAGACAGACAGACAAATAAATAGAAAATACATACAAACTGGTTAATACAACTTGCATGCTATATATCAAGGTTTTCTGAAGCCATTTGATAACATCAGTAGATTGACATGAGCCTTGGCAGCTTGACCATTACGCAACAAAATCTATTTCAGATTTCGCTACTTGATAGGTTATGATATTGCACCCGAAATATCAAACGGATTAAATGAAGAACGTGGGTTTGAGATTGACAAGGCCACCAATGATCATGGTCTGACCTTGGATGTGTGGGTTTCTAAGTCTGGCTCACTCATTCGCTCCCATACCGTGGTAATGAAACACCTGCCGCAAGAGCCGCGCTCACATTCATTATGAATCTCTCAATGATTCGATGCTACACTTGACCTTTATCAGCCTACAACATCCCCTGTTCCAGCACTATACTGTCCGAATAAAAAAGAAAAAAAAAAAAACTACAGAATCGATTTCGGCAAAAAGGCCAAAATATGACTGTGATCTGATGGTAGAAAAAGGTTGTGCATCAGCCAAGATAAGAGGCTAGCTGAAATTGATGTGAAAATGTCGATAAGCACCCACAATATGGGGGGAATATCAGGTGAGGCCACAAGCCAAGTCTGCAGAGTGGAAGGGGGACTGTGTTTTAGGTCCACAACTGGTGGGTCTTGTCCCAAAATGGGTTGTGGGTCTACATCTAAGCAGGGGAAAAAACAATGCTAAATGGCAACATAAAGCAACTAATCATATATTTGTGCATAATTTGGGCACACAATGTGCTTTGTGCAGTGAATTATTCACTTCAAGAGGCATTTAGTCACTGAACATATACCAATAAACACATTATAAGGTTTGATTTTTATGGAATTACATTTGTGTCAATAAAAATTAACGTAACTTTGTAAAACTGACCATAACTTTTCCAGAAACAATCAAAAATATCTCATTACGAAAGAAGAAAAACACTATGAAAATTTATGATGCAAAAATGTAAAATGCTCTTCAAATATACTTAATTCTTTGTTAACAATTTTCAAAGATTTGTTTTTGCAAATCGTGGATTTTGAATGCGTTGCCACAGATTTTGCTTACATTTTGCTAATTTTCATTCACTATTTTGGCACAAACCTCTCGTGAGGGCGGGCTAAACAGCAGCCTATTTTGATTGGCTAGTGAGATTTTTGATGGACAACGTGAATATTGGAAAGCTGTTGCGCCGTGTTATCTAACTTTTACAAACAAAACTAGTAAGTCTGATTCATATGAAATATTTTTTGCATGATCAAGTGTTTTAACCAATAAATATCTCTTGTGTTACATTTATATGCATTTATTTTCAACACATCTGTACCACATTTAAAAAAAGAACCCACCTATATTTTTTCCTTCCCAAACAATGGCAATAATTTTGTAATATATATTTTTTTAATTTGCGAAGTGTAAGCGATATCTGTGGCAACGCATTCAAAATCCACGATTTGCGAAAATGAATCTTTGAAATTTGTTAACAAACAATTAAGTATATTTGAAGAGCATGTTAAATTTTTTTGCGACCGAGTTCTTTTTTTCCATTTTCAGTGTTTTTCTTCTTTCGTAATGGCATATTTTTGATAGTTTCTGGAAAAGTTACGTTCAGTTTTATAAAGTTACATTCATTTTTATTGACACAAATGTAATTCCAGATTTTCAGGACATTTTTATTTAAAAGTATTTATTTATTTATTTTTAATTAATGACTGAACTATAAGTCAGTGTGAATTTCTACATAGCTAGATAGCTTTCTACTTTATACTGCAAGTATACTGATACATAATTTTCTCAAATACTTTTTACTTTAAATCAAATGTTCTAATTTACATCTGAACAGGTTGATACCAATTAAAACTCTTTATCAAAGAATGTTTCAAAAAGCCTATGGTGAATGAAAAAAATAAATAAAAAAATAAAATAAAATCCGGAACCAAGGCTGTTGAAAAAATGGGTGGTCACTATTGTTCTCTGTATTGTTGTCGGAATGCTTAGAGAGGGCCGAGTACAAAGCAATCAGTTAGCACATCCAAGCTCGACAACTCTGGCTCTAGGCATAAAGCACTCATGTAGGCGTTTGAAGGGGTTGCCTGAAAAACAACGAAGAACAGTCACTGGGGAAGATAAATGTAGATTTGATTTTCGATTTCACTCTGTTTGAACCTTCATGCCCTTAGCCTTTTCAGAACTGTTTTATTGTATTGTTTCCTCAACTGCTTAGTTAGGAAGGATATCATTACCAAAGGCACTATCAGTGCATTCAGTCACTGCTCACTAGCTGTGCTGCACGACTAAACATAATGGACTTTTGCAGGTCAAAAGAAGTACCACAAAATGCCCAAGTGCAAGACAGCACAAAGCTGCATTCCTTCCCAAACAATGGCAATAATTTTGTAATATATATTTTTTTAATTTGCGAAGTGTAAGCGATATCTGTGGCAACGCATTCAAAATCCACGATTTGCGAAAATGAATCTTTGAAATTTGTTAACAAACAATTAAGTATATTTGAAGAGCATGTTAAATTTTTTTGCGACCGAGTTCTTTTTTTCCATTTTCAGTGTTTTTCTTCTTTCGTAATGGCATATTTTTGATAGTTTCTGGAAAAGTTACGTTCAGTTTTATAAAGTTACATTCATTTTTATTGACACAAATGTAATTCCAGATTTTCAGGACATTTTTATTTAAAAGTATTTATTTATTTATTTTTAATTAATGACTGAACTATAAGTCAGTGTGATTATAATATATGTAAAAAAAAAAATCACATATTTTTGAAGAAAAAAAAAACTTAATTTCAGAATGAAGTCATTTTCAGAATGAAAAACATTGGGTCAAAAGAGATCCCATGCATGCCTCCCATGAAGCAGTTTATTTTATTTATATACTGCTATAGTATTTATTAAATTTTTTTATGTTTTTAGTTTTCATTAAAATTTTGTTTAAAGTTCTAGTAATTTTATTGTGCTTTTGTAATTTTTATTAATTGTTTATATATATATATATATATATATATATATATATATTATCTTGTATCCCTTCAGGGGTTTTTTATCACCAAAGTAGTTAAAATGATTTCTGGGTAAAACCTCAAGGGAGTTACAGACATCTGTGGACTGGAATAAAAACATTTGGTGTTTACAAAATATTGTTGAGATACGCTAAAAGTTTGATGTTGGACGCATTGGGACCTGCAGCATCTTTTTTTCATTGATTAAAGTGATAGTTCGGCCAAAAACGACAATTTAGTTATCATTTACTCACCCTCATGTTGTTCCAAACCTCTACAACTTTTGTTTCTTCTGTGGAACTCAAAAGAAGATATTTTTTCAGAATGTCCAAGCTGCTCTTTTCCATACAATGAAAGGGAATGGTGACCACAATTTTCTGTGATGCAAATTGCATGCAAATTTGCAAATTTTAATGCAAATTTCAGTCTATTTTTCACACAAACTTATTGTATGAATCCGGAAGATTTCACTAAAATAAAATAAATAAATAAAATAAAATAGTGTAGGATTTACATTTAAACAATTTTCACTCAGATACTGTCAATTTCACAAATAATTACAAAGAAAAAATGAATTAAAAATGTAATTATATGTAAAATTTTGAAATAGAAAAACTGAAATGGTATTATATATATATAGTACTCTGATAATCTTTGTTTTATTTACAACTTAAAAAGATTATTTTCTATAGTGTTGGAATATAGAGCATAAGTCATTTTGACTGTTTCTTTGATGTTTTTATAGTGCTTAATTTCACTTTTTGGAGCACGACAGCCTTGGTCACCTTACTACGGAAGCCCGTTTCTACAGAATAAAAAAACAAAGACTTTTTATCTCAGAATTACAAATCTGAATAATGAACTCTGAAAACCTCTGAATCCTGAGATAAACATCAGAATTGCAAGATATAACTTGGAATTTACTTCTAAGTTCTGAGTTTACATCGTGCAATTCAGACTTTACTCTGATTTTTATTTTTGTTTTGGTTGTCTGAATTATGAGATAAAAATTAGCAGTTACCTTTTTAAATGTTTTTATTGGTGGCAAAAACGGGCTTCCATACCATCCACTTTTATTAAAGAGAACTTTGTTGTGTTCCCTAGAAGAAAGTAGGAGTAAATGATTAAAGAACATTCATTTCTGGGTTGAACTATCCCTTTAACTTCTTGAACTCGTAGTATTAAGTTGTATGCAGACTGTCGGCCTACGCTGGCATTTTAATCTTAACCTCAAATGCGATTATCTGCAGTGCTCAGAGTATTTATTGAAAACCTAGACGTTCTGCACACCACCTTGAGCTATTAAGAAGGAGAACAAAATATTTACTGTGGGTTATGAAAGTTCTTGGCGAAGCTAATAAAAGAAGAAATTCAATGTTCCTTTAGTCCTAAGTTTTCAGAATTCTCAGAATGTGTTGAAGGTATTTGTCCAATCCTTTCTTGACTGTTTGCTTGCTTCAGCTCGGAGACATCCGGCGAATATCAGGGCCGAGGGCTTGTTGGTTCAGCAAGATATAGGCTATGCATTTGTAAGAGAAAGTGATAGAGAGAGAGGGAAGAAAA